GTTGCTGACGCAGACGCAAATGCAGCTGCTGCGTCGCCACCACTGTCACAGCCATTTTTCATTGTCACTATACGTGGGTGCAACACCGCTGCGGCAACAAAGCGTACAAACACCACACACTAAACAACAACAAAAATTGACAAACAATAAAAACCGTAGGAAAACGATAAAGGCAAAGAACAGTGAATTTGTTTGTTGGCAGCCAGCATAGTTAGAAGCGTTGCAACATTGTTGCTAGCAACATGTGTAAGTGTAGTGTGCATAATTTTGTTGCAAGCCGCAATGTTGCAGTGTTTCGCAACTCTGCTGGTGGCGGTGAGAACAATTGAAATTGTGTAAATAGCACATAAGAAATTTTTGCATTACAATAACAACAATGGATTACTAATCCAACTGCATAATAAGCATTGTTTTTGTTCATTGTTTTTTGCAAAACAACCTATTGTAAAAATTATTTCATAACTACAAAGCAACAAACAACAATAACTAAAGAAAAATACAAATTTGTAAAAAGTTTTCCAATAATAATAACAAAACTAAAAGTTATCATTAAAAAGGCAGAAGAAGAGAAAGCAATTTTTAACACAAAAGTACCACAACTTAAAAAAGTAACAAAAAAAAAAAAAAAGAACAAAATATTTAATTTTGCATTCAAAACAACCAATGCCAGGGTTTTTGAAGTAAATAAAAAGTTTTGAAATGAAGCCAATGCGCAAACGCAAAAGAACGGCTCCAATGAGCATTTGTTTGAAGCGCATTGAAGAACATGGAATTGTGAGAAGAAGTACTTCGTTTTTGCAAGAGGCCCATATAGCTCGCCAATATATATTTAAATATATTTATATATATATATATATATATGTATATATAAACTAATATATATATATACATATTATTCTATATTAATACAAAAAACTATATATATATATATATATACCAACAAACATAAATACATACTTATATATATTTACCTTATATACTTAATTTTATTTCAACTAATCCTAAAGATTTAAACTAAATTATTTACTTATGGTATATACACTTATGTATGTAGTTAACTACTTACCGAGAATCTACCGCCCATCATAGCATTAAAGCGCCCGCAATTTTGCCAAACCAAACGTAGGTTAAGGCCACATACATTTAACGGTATATACATAGCGCTGTCAGTAACCAATTTTGCATTACTGCTTGGTGCGCTGTTAATGCCGTTATATGGTTATTAATTATTATTTTTTCGATGACTGGCCAAATTCTAAACAAATTTTTTGAAAAAAAAATAATGATTATTTAATTATTATAAATCATTATTATTATTATTTTTTTTTTTTTTGAATTTTCTGTATATAGTCAAAGCGCGCGTATCCCAAACGACAATATTCCACTAAATATATACTTTTTATTTTTTGTTTTTGTTTATAAATTAATTTTACCTTTAAACTGGCGCGTCTTTAATGCTTTTGTTGCCCTCTCACTGTCCTTAAAACTGTTTCTCTCAAACAAAATGYAACCCAGGATTCAGCGAACCAGCAACAACTGCAACAACATTTCACGCCATTGGAGCAGACCTATGCGAGCTATCACATTAAAAACGAAGCGGATTTTTAGTAAAATGCTGCAGTAAGCTGTAGCAGTGAGATATGTTGCAAATAAAAATATTTATTTCGACTATTTAAAACTCAGCCAAGCAAAAGTAGGCGTTTTCATGCGCCAAGCTTCGGAATATTGGAACAGTTTAATAAAGAAAAAATTTCTTTAAGCGAAAATGGATGCTTTTACTCGCACGACGAACTGCAACGAGTGCTTGCCGAGTTGTTGGCGTGTGTGCTTAGTTCAGCACTTTCGTGGTTAAGGGTTCAAAGTGCAACCTAAAGCTTAGTTTACAGTTGCAAAGCAAGTTTCATCTATATGTATGTGTGATATGCTAACAATTTTTACATAATGTGAGCGGCAGCGCATATTCTYACAACAACTCTAACATAATATTGAAAAAAAGAAAACACTAAATTTCAATCATTACTACTACAAATACTACTATAACTACTACAACACTACTACAGTAACTGCTGTGCGAAACAGATATACGTAATAACTGCTAATGACTGAGAACATAAGTAACTAATAGAAAGGAGGAGTATATACAAAAGCAACTAACTGCAAAAGAATATTAATAATATATATTTAAATATATATAAATAATGTATATGTATACAAGTAAAGCGAAAGTCTAGTGTATATTGTGAGCGAAGTKCTAGTTTATAGTCAATAACAGGGGGCAATAGGTGAACTTTTTTTGTTTCGTTTTAGGTTAGCGTTAAGTGTAACTGTAAATCGATATACGTAATATATGCACTGAGCGAAATTTTTTTCCTGTGTTTTTTTTTTGTTTGATTCTGGGGTTTGAGTCCGTTTCGACGGTGCACATCTAGTGGCAGGTAAATTTTGTAAAATAGTAGCAATTACTTCAGCGTTACAAGTTTATTTGAAATATTATATAGGC